ACTCTGTGTTGTCATCCGTCCATCTCTCTGTTTGTCCCTTACCCAGAACCCTGGCAAATATTGCTCAGGGATAGTGAGTGAGAGGGTGGCCTGCTTCCCGGCCGCTGCGGGTGCCTGGAGCTTTGTTATCCCAGCTGATTTTGTACATCTTTGTGGGGTGTTGGAGCTGGCTAGACCTCTTGGAAAGGAACAGAACTCTATCTGCTGGCTGAGGCCCATGGGGAAGGGGGTGGAGGCCACTCCCCCAAAGGAATCTTGGACCAGTTGTGCCATCTCAGTCCAGAAGGTGGAAGATGCCGTGGCGAATAAAAATGGCAAGCTGTAGGGAGGGTAGGGGCAAGGGTGGCTCTTAACTGTGGGGAAACCAGCGACACGTAGTTGCTCATGGAGTCAGTGTGGCTTAGCGGCTAGAGCACTGGACTGGCATGCAGGAGACCTGTGCTCTGTTTGCAGCTTTGCCATGGGCTGGCTGGATTTCTCTGTGCCTCAGTTTCCCAGCTGTGTAATGGGGATAATACTGCACTCCTTGCTGTGAGATCTTCTGATGAGATGTGCTCTATAAAAGCTAGAGATTATTATTATTCTTATTACACTCATAGATTGGGTATTCTCACCCCTTCCAATGACCAGTGTAGACTCTACCCCGGCCCCCACTCCCCAAACACACACACTTGTCTTCGAATGAGTGGGTAAAATTGTATTTATATTCACCCTCAGCACAGCCAAGAACACCAGATGTTGCCAGTTGCCTTGGGAGCTTCCTATAGCATCGTAGATGCAGCCTGCCAAAGGAAATTTGGGAATTTTCTTTCTTAATTCAGGAATGGCAGCAATCCAGGAGCATGCCACTGATGTCCTTTGAAAGCTTGTAAAATACCTGGGGACAAACTAGATGAACCAATGGGTCTCCATGCCATCAGTCCCCCAGAAACGAACACACCTCCTCCACACTTCACACATCTCCTTGTGGGTCATTGCCAAAGATGGAAACACCGATGGGAGTTCTAAGCTTGAGAACCAGGAACTCGCTGCATGCAAAGCCAGCTTGATATAGTAAGTCACTCTGAGTCAGGAGCGACCCAGCGCCCTGGTGCTCAGGGACACCCTGTTTCTGGAAGTGCTGTCGCTCAGATTAGATGTAAAACCAACATCTTGACCACCCATGGTCAGTGAAATCCCACTGTGCTTTTCAAAAGGGGAAGGGGCTTTCCCTGGCAGCCTGGCCCCATTCCCAAACCATGAGTTACTCCAGTCTGCCTACTTAGAATTTCCCTCCTACAGGAATTTCCCCCTGTGCTGTTTCATTTGAGGGTTGCTCCCCTGAGGTGGGATTGACTATGGCTGTTCTCACCTGAGTTCTCCCATCGTGGCTCTGTCCCCATCTGATTCTCGTTCTTTCCCTCCTAGGGCTGATTTTCCACGTCCTGCTCAGATGGACTCTGGCTGTTGACTTATTTAGCTCCCAGAATTGCCGGAGAGGGAAGGCAGATGGTCCGATGGTTATGGAACTTAACTGGGAATGGAGCCCCCCTTCTACATGTTTTCTAGCCTTGCCTCTGTACATCATGGAACCTCACCGGGTCTCAGTTTGCTCCATGGCAGAAAGGACCCTACCGGGTCGTTGTGAGCCTAAATTCTTTCAACTTTTCAAGGTGCCTTGAGATCCTCCGAGGGAAGGCACTGCAGAGTTGCACAGGGCTAGTGTTATCCAGGGATGCAGTCTGAAGAAAGTAACATTTTTGGCTTAAACGGGTCGACAGTGTCCCTGTCCCTTGGAGACACTCAACTCATGCAACTTTCCCAGTCACACCCTGTTAGTGTGCGACTGCTGCCTACAGGCACATCTGCTCTGGAGGGAAACAGGCTATAACTGCAATCCAGTGGGGAAAACATGAGCCCGGGGTTATGGCTCCTTTTCCCCGTCCCTACCTTCTGAGGAATAAACCTTGCAGGTGGCATTGTACCCCAGGCACGTGGCTGGGTATGGAGGAGTTCTCTCAAAGCTTTGAGCCGAAAGCCTGGAGGCTTGGTTCCTTTTTTAAAAAATCCTTGGTTATTTACAGCTCTTGACTCAGTGAATGACCCAGCTTTGATGGCATAGGCCTACAGAACGCTGCCCGTCCTGGGAGACACCAGCCAGCATGTGTGCAGAACATTTCAGGGCAGCTTTCTGTAGTCAAAAGGAAGGGCGCTCCGACAGCTTTCACTCCTAACTGTGGGTGATGTAATCATTTACCCAGGCCAACAGAGTCCCCAGCTACCACTCAACGACTCATATTTTTGGCTGTGTTTATTTTTATAACAGCGCTCTGTGAATTTGAGGGCTCATGAAGGTAAGGGGCTTAGATCTGTGACCAGGTAGGTTCTGTACAAGCTTCACACACACATGCAGCTTTACCAGGGCACCTCTGACCTGACCTGCATGCCTCTTACCTTCCCAGGCAGTGAGTATCCATCATGTTGCTCTCTGCTGTGGTTTGGATTAGGCTGAGACTGGGACTATTTTAACTTGTGACTGAAACTAGATCGGGACCCTGGTCTGGAAGGAAGGTTTGCTTGTATTTATTTAACAAACATGGGCTCACATTTATGTTCAGATCTACTCACATGTGCATCTGTCCATGTTATCATGAAACTGATAGCAAGTATACTGTGTGTGTGCGTATGGTGGGGCGGTGCTATGTATTTACTTTAGGATTACCTAGATCTTATCCTGCCGCTAGATACAGTACCGCATGTACCTAAAAGTTTAAGCATGATCTTTAACACAGTTACTGCCTAGCTTTATTCCCATGGGACATCTACTGCTGGTACAATCTGCAGCTGTCCAGGTAGCACAGAAGTGATTACGCTGTAACTTTCCTTTAGTTCTGTCAATCTTGCATAGATAATCTCAGCACTGATTGAATGAGTCTTACTGGTAACTAGTGTCAGTGATTTCCTAGTTCCTACCAGCTCTCTGCACAAGCATCCTCTCTGTGGATAATACACACAGCACTAGACAAAGCTATAGCATCACTTTTGTCTTACTTCCATCTCAACCAATCCAACCGTCATGTTTGGTAGGGACCAGAATTTTACCTTCCATGTTTTTTTCCCCTTGCATTGGTTGGTAAAGTCCATGGCCAAGATTTTTAAGAGAGGTGAGTGGCTTTGACTCCCCGATACCTTTGCCGTGAAAATCAAGTCCCTTGACAGTCTTGAGCTAGGCATCCAAAATAGAAAGACACCCAGAACCCCTGATCTGGTGAGAAGAACTTGGCTTAGGTCACTCTCAGTTAAAACATTTCACATCAAAGTCTTCATTGTTCTCTTGTTCTAAAAATAATTTATAAAGGGCAAGGGGAGGGGGAACCCAACCACTAAAACCAACAAGAAGTATTGCCAGCCATCTAGCCCTCCCCTCAAAATAAGCCCGCCAATGACAAGGCCAACAACATGTCCATAAGAAAATAGAATTCACAGGGACTCTTCAATTCAACTCTGGTGTGCGTGTGTGTGTGTGTGTGTGGTGGGGATGGGTTCATGAAACCCATGTGTGTTTGGGGGGTGGGGGGGTGAGAGAGAACCAGTTTCATCCCACAATGTCAGCTGGTCGCTGCTCTAGATAAAGGATGTGGCAGAATTGACTCAGAATAGCACGGGCTAGAGGGCTTTGGAAAAGAAAGAAATGCAGAAGATCCTGACTCCCAAGGAGGAAGAATGGGCGGGTGGAGGAGGGGTTTTGGAATAAATTGCTTACAATTTAGAAATTAATTAATTCTGTTAACTGGGTTTATCCTTGTACCTTCATAGAATCCTAACAAATGTTAACATTAATATCTCTCTGGAGAGAACACTCTGATGATCATGGTACTTTACTAATCGAGCTCAGTTGTGGCGAACCCCTGGGGAGCAGCAGCACCAATGGAGATCATTAATACTTTGTGACATCGGGTCACAGACGTCTAAACCAAGACCTGATTCCAAATCTAGGGCAAATAACCTTTGAATAACAAAGAGCAGCACAACCTTCCAACAACCAAGTGGTCAGGGAAGGCCACATTAGAGCTCCATGCACTCAGAACGCCCAAATCACACCAGGAAGGGGACTGAGCCTGGCACATGCCGAGCACTCAGGCTCTGATTCAGCAAAATGCTTTAAGCAGGTGAGGAGACCCGTTGCTTCATGGCACTGCGATTAGGTCCCAGCCAGAGGTGTGACCCACAGCCTGGGCTCTTTAAAATTCTACCGGTTCTGTAGAAAAACGGTTTCTTTATTCCAAGAACGTACTGTTATTCAGTGAGGTTCATCATGCAGCGGGAACGTTAAGGTCCAAGGTTTGTGACTGCAGTTCATGGGGGAATTAGCTTTCAAATGGCACCTGGCATGACCTTCAACTCCTAGAAGTTGACCTGGGTGTTCCGCTTTGACCTCCAAATGAGGATGACAAGAAACAGACAGGGAGACCGGAAATAGTGTCAGCTCGTTTAGTGTCACGGTTTCAAATAATTATCTTTTATTACGAGAGACTCGTCAGATTGCTCACACTGTGGCAAGAATTTAATAATAAAAGGCACTGGGGAACATTCAGAGGTGAAAAGAGTTCTCAGCCTGCGAGATCTAACCATCTCCTGTGAGTCTGTAGAGACCCACTCCATTAAAAACCCCAACGAAAACAAAACAAAATCGAAACACCACAACAGCTGCAAAAAAAGCAAACACTTGCTTGTCTACGTCACGCGCATCTTTCTGAGCAGGAGCTTCGCCTCCACATTGAACAGAGCTTCCCTGGTGGAGCAGGGCTGGAATTTAAGAGTGGCAGAGGCTGGGATGGGAAGTGACATACGGGGGACGTGAAATGTCGCGAAAGCCACAGAGACCATTGTCTTGGCTCCAGTGGAATCGCATCAGCAAGGTCAAATAAAAATATCACCACCAAACATGTCAGCACCAAAAGCTAACTTTAAAGCATGGAAAACACAAGAACAATACAATCACCGAGTAATAATAAAGCACGTAGCATTTTCAAACCTTTATTTTTAGAGGGGATTTTACATGATGGGTTTTAATTAATTTGTGCGTTTTTTAAAAACTATTTGTGCCCAATTATTAATAAATTCAAGCCCTGGGAATTTTGCCATTCTGGATCTTCAGTGTCTATCCCACTCCCTTCTCCATCCTCCCTAACAGGAACTAAAATCCAGCACCCCAAACTTTCACCACCAATTGCTCCGCTAAACTTTGGAAAGCCCAATCTTCTAACATCCTCTGGATACATCTGCCCTCACTTGCTGTCTGGAAATCAGGGAGTTAATCCTCTGGGATGGCTTTCCTTTACATTGAAACATCTGAAGAACATGTTAGTAAGGAGTTTGAAAAAAAAAATCCAAGAGCGGATACGAAGAGGGAGTAGCTATTTAGCACAGGAACAGGGCTGGTTATTGTAACGTCATTGTCGAATCAGAGAGCAGAGAAGAACACACCAAAATGGATGAGTGAGCAGAGTATTCTAGTGGTATTCATTAGGCTACTAACCATAAGTTGTTGTCTCTTTTAGCACCGTTAATATACGTTTAGATCTATATTAGCACCTTGTCCCCAGGGGAAAAAACAAAACAAAAAAGGTTTAAAAATAAAAGGAAACAGGAGGTAAAAAAAGAAAAGAAAAGAGGAGGCAACAGAGAAGGAAGCTGCTGGCTTAGATCACGAGGTCCTTGTCAATGTCCTCTGCAAAAGGAGAGAGAGAAGAAGTTAAAGTCTTCACTAGCATTCAGACTATGCTGTATGTAACCCAGGCTAATGCCGCGTGGGTCTTTGTCCCCCTCTAGTGGTTACATCGCACAGAGACGTTAATGACTACTACTGCCTTCAAGCTACCAGACTCACCCCTCTTCTGACTCCTTTCTTGTTCAGTAAAAAGGCTGGAAAGGCATGGAGGGGCTCCAAAGGAGGAGGAAGATTCCCCTGGCACATGCCCTTTGAAAGCTCTGGCACAGGCGTGCCAGGGGGCAGAGCTGGTCATGGAAGGGGCATGTTGTGGGAGGGATCACAGCATATAGCACATGCTTAATTTAAAGCCACTTCAGCACCCTTCTCCTCCTAAGGTGTGAGTTCTGTGCTGCTGAAGGCTCTCAGGATGGGTGCTTTTAGCTCATGTGGTAAAAGTTCCTCCTTTTAGACCTAAAGTTCCCAGGGATTCCTTCCCAGGTTCAGTCTCCACAGCAGATGACCCAATCGGGAGTCATTCCACACCCAATTGTTTTGTGGTGGATGCAGTGATCTGCTGGGTTTTGGCAAAGCTAAGCAATGACTCCCAGGTATGTGGGAAGTTAACAGGCAGATATTCACTCAGCAACAATGACATCTAGGCAAGGTTAAGGGCAGGGGGGTCACTCAGGTGCTCTCTGAAATAGCAACCGTCATGTTTATTGCCTCCGAAGCACTGCCATCTATTCTGATATTCTTCACTAGCACACGCTTTCTTTGGGGCAGGCCTGCTATTTCCTACGTATTTGTACAGCACCTCGCACAACTGGGTCCGGCCTTGAGGTGCTACCACAGTAGAAATGGTAAATCATAATAAACAAGGCCTCGGTTGAAGGCCTGGGGGTTTGTTGTGCTGGGGCTCATCAGCCTAATGAATCCTGTGCAGTTCAGGAGATACGCCATCTTTATTAAATAGGACTAGCGGGAATATGAACTAGATCCCTTTCAGTTTGCACCCGCAGCATTCACACGGGGCAGTTACAATGCAGCGCAGTACTGAGGGCTGTGGTTCCCTCCCCTCTACTCCAAACTGCAGGGCCATGTAGACAAAAGCCCTAACGCCAGAAGGGGAGAGCTGGGCCAACGCTGAGCACTGAGCACTGAGCACTTTTGAAAATCCCACCGCGGAGGAACCAATAGATCTTTTCCCCCCTGTCCCCATTGCCTAAGCTTCTAGGATTTTCTCCGCCCTGTTTGTGGCCGGGGCAGAGGTCACCCCAAGTAGGAGAGTGTTTTGACAAGCAAAGGCATTAATTCTATTCGTGCTGTTATTTGTTTAGTGGCCAAAGGGTGCCTGCCGCTTTCTGGGCTGACAGGGAAAGATGCCCCTCACAGATTAGGACCAGGCTTTGTAAATGATGCACAAATCACCCCCTGCCTTTGCTGCTGCCTTCTCTTTAGCCCTTGGTCAGCGAGGATCTCTGAGAGCTGTCTTCGGACCAGTCCCACCCTTCCCTGCATTCTGCCTGCCCCTTCCTCTACTGTCCCCAGCTGCCACCAGGGCGGGGACAGCAGCTACTTACTCTCCTTGATGCCAAAGCAGCTGCCCCATTCCTCCAGGGCGATGTACTTGTCGTTGTCCAGGTCACACTCTTCAAAGAAGCGGGTGGTGCAGTGCTCCATGGGGATGAGAGGCGCTCGGAGTGGGGCCAGCTCGGTGTGAGACAGGTATCTGCCAGGAGAGCCGAGATGGTCTGAGCCCCAGGCCAGAGTCCCCCCAACAATGCACCACAGCCTTGCTCTGCTGATGGGGCGGGGAGCGTCGCTGCACCCTCCTTCCCCACCCCCCGTGTGTGGCTTCTGGTACGTGTGTGGCTCAACTCTGCATCCTCCCACCCGAGAACGCTCTCTGGACCAGCTCCAGGGCCCAATGGAGTTAATGGAGTCCATTGGCTTCAGTCTGCGCTGGGCCAGGCCTGGGCAGCGGGTCATGCGGCTGACATGGGGTCTGGCTAAGAGCAATGCCTTCCCTTGGAAACCGTCCACCCGGCGGTCAGTGACCTCATTCCCTCGACCACTCTCTGGCCACCTGAGCCGTCCAGCGCTGTCCCGACAGCAACTCAGGCACATGGGTGTTTATCCCGTCACAGCCCAGTAAAGGCAGGCATGGAGCACAGAGTGCAGAGGGTTAATGCTGGCTCACAAATCTCCCCCTCCGCTGCATGTATTTATAGCGTCTTATCATCCTCATCTTCACGGCGGGGCTCGGCATCCTTTTCCTTGCACAGCCCGTTCCTTCCTGCTAGCCTGCCCGTGCTGTGATCCGTCGCCATCTGGATCTGAGCCAGGCAAAGGGCAGGCCTCTCCCCGGCAAAGCTCTGCTAATTGAGCCTTGAATACCTCAGCCCTGCCAGTCCCGAGCCCCAGGCCCGGCTTGCTGAGTTCCCTGCAATCCTCCCCTGCGTCGCCTCCCGCCATGCCAGTGCGGATCCCCACCCGGCTGCTTCGCCAGTGCACCGCAACCTGAACCTACCGACGTCCTGCCCGCTGCTGGGCTCCTCTGGAGCCCAGGACTCCTGCAGCCACGTGCAGGGGTTTCTGCAATGTGCCCAGACACTCAGGGGCTGGGATAAGGCCGAGACGCCCATCGCACTTGTGACCTGATCTGAGTGTGAGCCCAGCAAGCCGGCGGCAGAGACAGGCCAGGGAATCAGCCCGTAGCCCCGGCTGGGAGGGGAGCTCCGTACCCATCAGTGGGATGCTGGTCCAGCTGCCCGAATTGCCAGTGCACGGGGAAGATGTACATGTTGTAGTTCTTCTCGAAGTCGCGGGCCAGCAGCTCCGCAGAGTGCTCGCCGGCTTCCAGGCGCCTCTCGTTCTCGTGGACCTTTTTCACCTGTTAAAGCAGAGACCGCCTGAAGCTGCCTGGCGACTGCGGCTGGGAGCCCGCCTCCTGGACAGAGCCGCTGGGGGCTCACTGTCAAAGGGGGGGGCAAAGAGGCTGGCTGGGCAGGGGGTTGCTCTAGGGCGATGGGGTGCTAACGAGCAAGAGTATTACTGGCGGGTGTGCGAACGGGGGCGTTCTGAGTTGCTCGCTAGGGTGAGCTTTGTGTGCACACAGCAGCCTGCAATTAGGCTGGGATTCAGGGGCGCACCACCGTGTGCTGGCTGGAGTCCACCTTGGCGTTAGCGGAGCTCCCTGCAGGCACCAGGGCACACGGGATTGGGTCACGGCGGGCACCGGGGAGGGCTCCCCACACGCCCGGACACTGCGTCCACTCACCTTGAGCTTCTGCTTCTCCGTCAGCAGGTTGTTGCCCTCGTCGCGCTCGTACAGGGTGACCAGCACGTTCTTGAGCCAGTCGCGCATGCGCAGAGGGAACTCGGTCAGCTCCGTGTCCAGGCAGGGAGGAATGTCTGGAACCCAAGCACAGAGCCATCAGCGCGGTGCCCGGCCCGGGCCTCTCCCCTGTGGGGCCCTGCCCAGCTTCCCTAGTGGGACCGGAACAGGACGCCCATTCAAGACAATGTCGCCTCCTCGGCCCTTGAGCCGCTGGGTGGGGCTTCACCTCGGCTCTGCTGTTTGCTGCGGCCTGCTACAGTTTATGTATCCAGGCATTTTTCTGCTGTGTTCGTGGTTGCATTTCTTCCCCCGGAGCAGCACATGCTGTCTTGGGGACACCCCTACCTCCCTCGGGGCTGCTGGGATCAACCCCTCCATGCAGCCCCACTGGTGGGGACCCATGAACGATCCAGCCATGGTGGCGGAAGGGGAAGTCTCCTCTAATTCCACCATGAATCTGTGGGCTCAGTGCAAAAACCACCAGGCGGAAATCCTATTGCTGGAGGTCAGACTCGATGATCATAGCAGTCCCCTCTGGCCTTAACTTCGGAATCCATAAACCTGGTGGCTCTGTGCTGTTGTCTGCCACAGTCAAGCTAGCGTGAGCCTGCATTCTGTTTGCTGTCGCCCGGCGAAACCCCATCCCACCCCCTCTTGCTTCCCATCCTGCCACCAGAAACGGCGCCTGGGGCTATGGTTTAATCACTTGAGCTTTCTGCTGCAGCTACTATGAGACGCTGTGAAGGAATCTGTTGCCCGCACGGGACGGGGATGCTGCGGGAAGCAAAACACACCAGCCGCTGTGCTGATCAAGCTTGTTTTGGAAAGAGCAAACCACCGATTTATTGGCAAGCTGCAGCCATCTGGGCCGGGGGGGGGGGGGGGGGAGGAATGTGAGAGGCGTCGGAAAACTCTTTATATTTAGAAACAATTCAACGGTTCTTCTTGATCAGCCCCCTGCTACCAGGGATGTCTTCCTGAATGTCTTCTCCTGCTCGAGGGGCCTGCCAGCTCCTGCCACCTATTTCTCACCCGGAGTCCAAACCCTCGGTCTGTTCCCTGCCAATTGATTGCTGTGGAAATTATTCCGTCGCCCACAGAGGATTAAGGATGATCGAGTAGGGAATAAGCAGCAGGAGCAGATGAAAATCTGATGGTATACAGATTCCATTTTCCTGCAGTGGTCCCTTGTGGCTAAAGAACATGCAGATAAATGTAGAGAACTGATCATCTGACATCTGGGTTTGTTGCTAAAGAGATTCAACATCCCTCCACCAGGTGTCAACGGCCCTACGTGGTTTACTTTACGTTGTCCTTAAATGCCCGTGAGTTTAGCACCTGGCTCCTGTGTAAAACGGCAGGTCCCTACATGCAGCCCGTGTGGGCAGCTGGTTCTTTGGGCACCAGATCATCACTTTGAAACTCCCACTATCAGCAGGTGGCTGGTGCTGCTCCTAGAAACCCCAGCAAATGCAAATCAAGGTGCTTTCCCATAGAGCCCTGTACATGAAGGGTCTCTGCATGAAGCATTGTGTGATAAGCTGCTGTCTACAAGCCTTCCCACCCTTGCCCCCTGAATAACACCAGCTGCAAGAAATCCAGCAGCATGTGGCTTAAGAGAGAAGTGCTGGATAAAATACAGAGGCCTCATTGTCACCTGGAGTTCTCTGTTGAATCATACTCCTGAGCGGCCTCCTATCCCCTGCTAGGTGCTGTCTAGCAGAGACACCGTGATCACAATAAGGCTATTATGCAAGGAGAGCTGGGGGGGGGAGGTGGGCAGGTCTGAACAGAACCCGGCTTTGCATTTGAAATGGGCATTCCAGGATGAAACAATCTGCTCCTTTCAGGCCTCCCGCCTTTCAGAAGTGCTGAGCCAGCAAAACACTTAGCGGTGGGGCTCGTCTAGTGATTGCAATTCCCTCTGCCCTGGCAGCTCCAATGAGTCCGCAGGCCGCCTTCCCTTTGCATTACATAAGCTGGCAGAGACCCTAGGGCTGGCTGCACCGGTTGTGAGGTCTGGGCACGTGGGCCGGTCACGGGCCAGGCTTGGACGGTGGGACCAAATGGAGAGCTCCAGCCCGCAGGGCACGTTGCGCCGTTGTCAGCGCCTGTTGCGTGTGCTTATGAGATCAGAGGCGGGGGAGAAACGGTGCTGCCCGCGCTTGATCCCAGTGGCCTTCCCAAGGATAGATGAGCGGTAGGAAAAAGCACGACCCTTAAGGCCAAATTCTGGCTGTTTCCCTGGGAGGAATGCTGGCGCCAGGCTGTAGTGGCCACACAAAGGTACCTCAAGCTCTCGTGCCGGTGCTGGGCAGAGGCAGGCAGCCAGCTCAGGGGGCCCAGTCCAATGACACTTACTGCTGCTTCATAAATGAGTAGCAGAGCCCTGGTCACATCCCCAGCCTGGCTGGTGCTGCGCCTTGGGCCCAGGGAGTGCCACAGGCTGGCGGCATTCTACCTGGGTCCAGGGCGGGTGCCCGGGGGGGCTGAGGGACAAAGAGAGTCCCAGCACGCCCTTCCGATCTCCCATGCAGGAGTGCCCAGAAGGTGCTGATGGCTAGGTTGTCACGGTGGTGGAGCTGGACACGGGTACCCATTTAGGACCAGGAAATGCTGCAGGAACGTACGTTCTCCTGGCAGTCCCTGTCTGCTTTTACACTGAGAACTGGGGAGAATTTCCTGACCGCAGCCCATTCGGTGGGGCAAGCCCCATCAAGGGCCTTAGGGGACAGGGGATGTGCTATCTTATTAAAAGGCAGGATCAGGAACCCTGGCACAAACAGATGATCGGCCCCCGTCAGCCTTGACTGTGGGACCACTCCCCTTAAATGGTTACCTCCTCTCCCAGCTCATGGGTTCTAGTGGAGGGAAGAGGAAGGGTCTTTCCTGCAGCCCCTTTGCCCTTTCAGGATTTGGTTAGAAGGCAGCAGCTGATCCTTGGCTTGTGTGTGCCCGGCACCGGGAGTCTATACTCCAGCACCATGGACGAGCTGCAGGGTTGCAAGCCAGACATTGGAGATAACTGGTTGTTGAGCAGCAAGTAGATGTGCCATAGACACCTGTTAGGAGCTATGCGGGGGCCGGTTGGCCTCCTTACCCTTGTGAAGGTGCAAACTTACATTTGCAGGGCCCGATGTAGTCCAGGTGGAGCTTGTGTCCCTTCTTGGTGCCCTCCAGGGTGCACTTGGTGGCAAAGAAGTGGCAGGAGGAGTCATAGGTCTTGTTGTCAGTGCCACATACCTGCGGGGAAGGGGACAGAACATTAGAGAGACTCACGGCGAGTCAGCCTGGCGAACTCTTGGCCCTGACGCCTTCCCTACAGGAACGAGAGCGAGGCAACGAACTTATTTCAGATGGGCCACCAGATTGAGGAATTAGTGACCGGGGCCAGAATCAAACCTGTGACCCCGGGGGAAGACTCCATCTCCTATGATCAGTCTCCTAAGCCATTCAGGGCCGCGGACTAGTCGCCATGTGACGTACAGGCAGCAGCTCGGCTTCTCCCATCCTTGTCCTCCTTAATAGCGCTTCATTTCTCGGCTCACCTTCTCGAACAGGCCAACGCTGGGTGGGCAGGTGGAGGGGTCTTGGCACACGCACATGGGGGTGTTGTTGTCGTCCACCTCGCAGATTTTGCCATGCTTGCAGTGATGGTTCTGGCAGGGATCTGAAAGGGGGCGGGAAAGCAAAGTTGGATCTGAGCCCAATCCCCCATCAGGAGGAAGGGACAGATGTCTCTGGTCCCTGGGCTGGGATGCTGCAGAGCAGGGCGGGGAGTGGGCAGGTGGGGAGTCACTTACTCTCAGCGACGATCTCCTCCACGTCCTCGGTGGGCTCCTCGAACTCCCCAACCTCCACCTGGACGGGATTGACTCCGACAGGCTCCTGGAAGGCAGGAGACTGGCTCAGCCACAGATTGGCCAGTGGGATACGGCGCATGGTCACTATGGCCAGAATTAGCACGAGAACTCAGCCCCCAGGGAGTGGCCAGATTTGCAGTGCTGGGTGCTGAGCTTGCTGGGAAATCTGACCATGTGCCATTTAGCAGGTCCCACTGAAAGAGGGTGGGAGGGGTTCCACACAGAAGCCAAAGCTTGGACAGATAATTTACGGCCGGTGATGGGACACTCGATGGGGAGGGCTCTGAGTCACAACAGAGAATTCTTTCCCAAATGTCTGGCTGGTGGGTCTTGCCCACATGCTCAGGGTCTATCTGATTGCCAGATTTGGGGTCTGGAAGAAATTGTCCCCTGGGTCAGATTGGCAAAGATCCTGGTGGTTTTTCGCTTTCTCTGTAGCATGGGGCAGGGGTCCTTGCAGGTTTAAACTATTGTAAATTGTGGATTCTCTGTAACTTGAAATCTTTAAACCAGGGTGGGCAAACTACGGCCCATGGGCTGGATCCGGCCCACCAGTCATTTTAATCTGGCCCTTGAGCTCCCACTGGGGAGATGGGTGTGGGCCTTTCCAGCATGTGGGGGAGCGCTACGTGGCTCCGGGAAGCAGCGACATGGCCCCTCTCCAGCTCCTACACGTAGGGGCAGCCAGAGGGCTGCACGCTGCCCCCACCCCAAGCACCGCCCCCAAAGTGTACAAGAGAGAGGCAATGCTGGTCATTTCATACCACGGTTGTAGGATCCTCCACTACTTCAATCTCATCTGGCAGGGCTTCCTGCTGGAAAGGAGGAAGAAGGGGGAAAGTGCTGTCAGAAACGTGACCTCCCCCACATCTCACATCTCCTGCCCCATGGCCCCCTTTTCACAGCCGAGCCCAGATCCTCGTGTGGACAGGTCAGCATCCTTAGGAAGGGGAACCCTGCCGGCTGGGGAAGCCATGAAACAGTGATGCCTTTTGTCTCTATTTCCCGCACCTTTGCACTCCTACACGCTCTGCCTGTATGCAGAGAGGGCCACCGTTTGGTACTCAGAGCTGTGCCTGGCCCTTGTTCGCTTCATCAATGCACAGCGTCACCGGAGCCAAGTGGGACCTCTCCTGATGGAGAGAGGCAGCCATTCCCACGTCGTTGACATGGGACGCAGCCGTATCTCACCCCTTGCTGAGCTGCGGGAATTCTTGAGCTCTTGGTCAGCGTAATAGAAATGTTGTGTGGAGTCTGGTAGGGGCATGAGATGACCGGTGGGCAGAGGATGAGCGGAGGTCTATGTCAGGGCTGTGCCAGATAAGAGTTTGGCTCGAAGAAAAGCCTTCCCCATCTGCTGCCCTCCGAGCAGCTCCAGCTCCACTCTTCAACGCAGAACAAGGGTACTCATCCCAAGGGCCCCCGCCTGGGAAGAGGCATTTGGAGGTGTCAGTGAGGCCGAGTCCCCTCCCACACAATTATTAATTACTGTTATTATGTATTCATTCCTTGCATTGCAATAAGAGCCCCGGTCACGGAACAGGATCCCATTGTGCTAGGCGCTGAACAAATGATCAGAAAGAGGGTCCCTGCCCCACAGAGCTTGCAATCTCAGCTTGCTCTTCACTTCCTCTCACTCAACCCTCTGGCAGCAGCTCCCTGCTGGCAATGCCTCACTGCCTGCATTCCCCCTGACCCAGTGGCAGGGTGGCAGCTCGCAGAGAACCTGTGCTTGCAGGCTAATGGGCTAATAACATTCATGACTCCCAATGTGCAGAGGAGAGAGGGGCACCTCCGTGGGCAGCTTCTCTTGGATCTTTGCTTTACTAGTGGAGACCCTCTTAAGATCTTCCCTACCTCTGACTTCACAAGGGGCATCAGGTTTCTCCAAGGGCCACTCTTGGAGCACCGCTTGGGCTAGACGCCCCAGTGGACTGGGTTACTGAATCTGAACTAATGTCTTAGGAGTTAAGCCTGGCTGAGGACGTTCCAGCTCCTTTGACTCATAGTCCGGCTGTATTGGAATTTCAGGTGCCAGGCGTCTGATTGCTAAATTACCCTCCCTACCATGTGGCTACTGGGATCCCAAGTGGTACTGTTCGGAGCAGCTCCTGATGGAACGCGTGTTGGTCTCCTTGTCCCTTAACCCCTTCACCAGATGTCAGATGGCCCATAGCCATTTCTGGCTATCCAAGAGGAGCATTTTCTCTCCCTTCCCAGCTATGCCGGGTTATTTCATTCAGAATCAAAAGGGTTAATGGCCATGCAGTCCTACCTTTTTGGCCTAGGCCCTGATTTGGGCTGCACCCCCTGTGAAATCTCCTTGCCCTGGGGCGTGAGTTTGTGCAGGGGCTTGGAAGGCACATAATCAGTAAGAGCGCCATTCCCGTGGGATTCTGTTCTGTTCCCCCATGGGCACTTGTTCATGCTTTATTCTAAACCTCCCGCACAATGGCTCCATGGCTTCCTCCCCTCTGCAAGGGTTTACTGGGAGACAGAGAAGCATTTCATAGGAACCAGCAGATAAAGATCGGGCAGTGACCATAGTACCACAAGGATGTGGGTGATGGTTGAAGATGAGTTAGGGTCCCAAACCTATGGGAAAATGGGCCATGAGGTTCACATTAGCTTCAGCAGCTGCGAAAAGGGGAGTCACAATGAGGCTGTTACAGTTAGGGTCAAGTCAGTGCCACGAAGCGGAAAAAACCCCACCCAATACAGGATTTTCCTGGGCATTTACTGGGGAGGTGTAAGCAGTGATGCGCTGCCAAAATCTTAACAACCGGTTCCCTATAAAAAGTTCTGATGTAAGGGACGTGCCCCAGTATGTATTTTTTGTACCAACCGGGTGACCATACGTCCGTATTTTCCCGGGAGGAATTTTTAAATTCCTCCCGGACGGCGATTTAAGAGGCTGCAGGCGGTGCGGTTGGGACTGGCTGTAGGCAGGGGGTGCGGGGGTGGCTGGAGGCAGGGGCTGGCTGCGGGCAGGGCAGGGGGTGCGGAGGTGGCTGGAGGCAGGGGCTGGCTGCGGGCAGGGCAGAGGGTGCGGGGGTGGCTGGAGGCAGGGGCTGGCTGCGGGCAGGGCAGGGGGTGCGGAGGTGGCTGGAGGCAGGGGCTGGCTGCGGGCAGGGCGGAGGGTGCGGGGGTGGCTGGAGGCAGGGGCTGGCTGCGGGCAGGGCAGGGGGTACGGGGGTGGCTGGAGGCAGGGGTGCTGGAGGCAGGGCAGGGGGTGCGGCAGAGGCTGGCTGCAGGCAGGGGGTTGCGGGGGTGGCTGGAGGCAGGGGCTGGCTGCAGGCAGGGGCTGCAGGGGGTGGCTGGAGACAGGGGCTGGCTGCGGGCAGGGCAGGGTGCGGCAGGGGCTGGCTGCGGGCAGGGGTGCAGGGGGTGGCTGGAGACAGGGGCTGTTGCGGGCAAGCCAGGGGGTGCGGGGGTGGCTGGAGACAGGGGCTGGCTGCGGGCAGGGCGGGGGGTGCGGCAGGGGCTGGCTGCGGGCAGGGGGTGCAGGGGGTGGCTGTGGGCAGGGTGGTGGGTGCTCGCGGGGAGAGCGGCTCGGAGCAGCCCGAGCAGCAGGACGCAGCCCAGGCCCAGCAGAGCAGCCGGGGACCCACCCGGCAGCAGCGGGAGCCCCAGGGCCAGGGGTCGGGGGAGCAGCAGCAGCCCCAGGGCTCGTGCCCAGGGACAGGGGGCAGCCCACGTGGCTCCCGCAGCGCAGCGCCCCCGGCGGCCGGAGGAGGAATCACATCACTTCCCGGCCGGAGCCCATGAAAGCCTCAGCGCCCCCGGCAGGGAAGCGGGTTAACCACCGGCTCTAAAACTGCTCCAAGATGTAACAACCGGTTCGCGCGAACCGGCTCCAGCTCACCACTGGGTGTAAGTTAACAACCTTCTACTGGTGGCAGGCTGGCACAGGGACTGCCTATTCTGGGAAGGGAAGGTGGCAGGATGAGGGTCAGGCAAAATACTTACAGGTGTTGCCAGTGCCGTGCCAGCTAGGCAGAGAAGGAAGAAGATCCAGGCCCGCATCTTTCAATGAAGCCTGGATAAACGGGAGAGAAAAAGAACAAGGGTTAGACATTAGCATTACCGAGTAAAGCTTTATCACCTGCAAAATTCACGGCAGGAGGGCATCTGGGTCACTGATTCCCCGGGCTGGGTCTGGAGAGAGCTTGGATGGAAGGTGGAAAAGGCCTTCACAAACTAGAAGTCCAGCTAATAACCATGAACTCATGTCTGCAGTGTTTTTCATCTAAGGATCTCAAAGCACTTTATAATTATACAATGGCCAATTACATTTTTTTAAATATTCCTGCAAAAAAAAAAAAAAAGTTGGCTTTTGGGTGCAAACCTGAAATCGAAAACTGTCTTCAATGGGGGGGGGGGGGGGGGAAACGGTTTTTGAACATTGAAAATTTTATGGGAAAAACATGGTTGCGTTTTTGGTTTCCATTGTTTCCCTTGAAAATTGCAGAAAATTTCCCAGAAAATTGCAATCAGAACGAAAATCTTCAGCAAAAATGTTTATTTGGGGCAAACAGTTGTTTTTCATTGAAAAAGATTAGACCAGCTCTAGCTATAGCATATACAACTTCATACAGCATCATATGTCGTTCCATTCAGAGAAGAGAAACTGGGGAACAAAAGAGAAAGAATAAGTCAGAGTGAGACCGGATGAGAGAGGAAGAAAGAGAACACTCCAGGATGAAGCTCTAACCTCTTGTGAACCCTATACAACTTTTCCAGGTGTTTTAGAAGTTTCAAGAAGTCCCAGAATTCTCTAAGTTCTCTCTCTCTCTACAGGTCATTAGGCCTCAAACCTACCCTGAAGATGTTTACCTTCGAGACTGCGGTAGAGCACTTTATTTTAAAAGTCAAGCTAATCAATCCTGACTCCCTGCACGATGCAATGTAGGCAAACCAATGTCCAACCTTTTGCCTGTAAAACATATTGGAGGATCTACAGTCTCTGCATCTGTCTTCTAAGGGGGCTCAGTGGACTTTGTGCGTGTATCTCAGATGAGTTCATGAAGGCTCCCACTTATTTCCCAGTACCGTTGCTCACTCCCAGGGCTTGTCTATGCAGTGATGTTAGTGCTCAGTGACCTAGGGTGAATTTGAAGCGCACTAACTGCTCTGTACTCCCAGTCTGGGCGCTCTCGCTGCACTCTGGCGCTCCCTCAGATGGGTTAGCTCACTACACTTCCAAAGAGCGTTAAGCTAATACGCACAAAGACGCTTGTAGTGCACAGTAGGAGTGTCCACACAGGGAGTCAATGTGGAGAAGCTAGTGCACACCAGCTACTGCAGGCTTTTCCCCCCGTATAGACAAGCCCTTAGTCCCTTCAGTGGGCTCCCGAGGCACTTTCTGCTCTCCAGGCACCAGCACAAACTGACTCCCAGAATGAACTGATAGCCAAAAATGCAGGGACTCCAATATCCTGCCTGTGCAAGTCCCCTGCGCTATCAACAGGAGAAGCTGGGCCCAGAGCGGGGCTGGAATTCAGCTGCTGAGGACAATGGCAGGGCATTCTCTGCTCTGGTGGACCTGCCTGCATTAGCAGCCAAACCATCTCCCCCCTGTTTGAAAGGACCCTGGTCAAAGGGGCTGGGGCATTGCCCAGATCATTTGTACACAGGGCCTTGGTGTTTGCCAAGCATGGCTGCTGGTGTGTGAGCGGAGGCAGCTCACCCCGTCCCTGCATTCCCAGAGGGCTGAGATCTTTGTTGCCGCTCTTAACTTTTTATCTCCTGCTGTTGCATTCAGGCCTGCAACCTGCCTGGCCTTCCCCGGCTGAGTAGTGTCCCAGTCCTTAGACAGACAGACTGAGGGAAAGCCAGGAGACTGATGCCCTCTGTTGATCCACCGACCAGTACAGCAGAGACTGCAGCAGTGCAGGCTGCCCACACTGCCCTGCCAATGGGCCTCAAAACTGACTCGGAGAGACTTTGAGAGGACTCTGGGTTGTGTCCCGGGCCGGGGTGGGGGCTTGACACCAGCTTTGCACCCTGCAGAAACTGGGCTGCTCCAGGTACCAGAGTGGTGTAAGGTGGAGCAGCCTGGTCTGCCGATGGGCCTTCATGATGCCCAGAATGTCCATAGTGTTCCATGCTATGGCCCTGCCCCCTCTTCCTGTCACTCCTCTGCCCCCAGCCCATTTTGTCACTGGGGCTTGCACTGGGGACAATGCAAGGCTGCCCATGGCGACCCTATGTAATGCTTGCACTTGGGGAAGTCTCCCCAGGCTGCTTGCAGGCACTTTGCAGCCCCTGTCCACCGCTGGAACGGAGCACAGGGGCAGGAGGAGGCAGCAGAATCCTTCCCCTTTCCCCTAGGACTGAGAGGGGAGATCAGGGTCTCAGGCCCATTCAGTGCTTGGGTTCTCTGCAGGGCCTGCCAATAGCGGGCCAGTTAGCGCCAGCTGCAGTGAGTCTTGTTTTAAATCCATCCAAAGCGAGAGTGGCAGCTGGGAAAATCAATCAATCCTTGTTTCTCCCCGCTGCTTCCTGTGTGGAGGGATCAAACCCCTCTGAGTGTGGAAAGGAGAGGGTGGAAAGACCTAGGCTGGGTGCTGAATATGCAGGCAGAGGCCTCGCATCTGACGGTGGGATGGAGCAATGGTGTGAGCGGAAGTTCTCGCCGTTGCCTCCCTCTTGGGAAAGCAAAAAAACCCAGCGTTTGTCCCACGCCTTCCAAATCACTTTCCCATCCGCCTGTCTCTGCTGGCAGCTGTCTAGGCTGTGACGCTCTGAAAGAGAGCTCCCCCCTGGTAAGGGGCAGAGAATTACTCAGAATAAAAGTTCCTAAGCTGGTTCTCAGCCCTTGTCTATACTGATGGCCACCATCTCTTCGGCAAATCCGCTAGAACCCCACATTTTCACTGCTGCAACCTAACCCTGCCTGTAACAGGGATGCACTGCACCAGTGCAAATCCTGGCTGAGAGCAGCTTTGCTTGTTTACACTGGGGGGTTGGAATGGTGTGTCTATACCAGTGGTAACTGGAGCTAATCCCCAAGGTAAGTGAGAGGTGAACAAGTCCTGTGTTTTAGGAGGGGCAATCAAGAGTCCTTCTCAATGTCTGTCTGTCTTTTAGCAGCTCAAGGATGACGGCTCCTGCATAGCCCCGCCCTGCCAAAAAGCTAACGGCCGAAGACCGTCTAAGCAAGGCTGGCTTAACTCAGATAGATTCTATTGCTCTCTTCTTGCCTAAAACAAAATTGGAGCATCTGCCTTTCATAAGAAAAAGGAGATGGGAGCGCACAGAATTACACCGAGCTGTGCCCAGAAAGGCACTGCCTGCTATGGCTCATTGCTTAGCTAAATGTAGCTGCGTGACTATTTAATTCACCAATTACTCCAGCCAGGATCACTTCCCGATTGCATTGGCCAAAGGAGAATGCCCTATAGATTCCCTATGCACAAAATGATATCTCACCTAGCCACAGAGCGGCCTGTTTTCATGCTTTTTAAAATGCAGGCCGTTTTAGCTACAGGTACATTGAAATCTACTTAAAATAGCATGCGGGCCTGTAGCATAAGTGGGAAGACTTGCTGAGAATGTAATATTTCACAATTTATAGACCGTGACATATTTTACACAGGCGTGACAGATGTATAGATATACTCCCCCCCGGGATGCGAGAGAGCCGTGGTACCACGGATTTCGGTGGGTCTGCACGGTAGCCAATCTCTATAGAGCAGCCGCTGACATTTCGGTATCAGAGGCTCTTGTGCTGAGAAGCAGGGGGTGGGGGTGAAGGGGAAATCTATTTCCTGCAGTTTGGCTGCTGCTTAGTGCATACAGGGTCCTCCCTCCGCCCCCACCCTCCTGTTCCGTACACCAAGTCCCTTCCTCTCTCCTTTATTTGCTCTGGAGGCTGCTGAAAGCTCTCCTGGTCGCTGCCAAGACCTGAAACTGAGGTCACTAGTTCTTCCCCTTTTGATGGGCGTTTTGGGTGGAAAAGTACAGCCGATTCTGGCTGTTTCCTCCACCGCTGCCATCCCCTGGCTTGTGAGGGCTTCTCTTGTGTCTCTCTTAACAGGGGTTGTTTGGCTTGGAAGTTGCCTTTTGCTCCATTCTGTCCAAGGCATGGAAACTTCACCGTGCTGAGCACAGAGGAAGGGGGAGTTGAATGGGGAGAATGGGCTTGCGTTGAAAAAGTGCAGCCCCCCCCAACCAACCTGGATTGCATGTAGATCATGTCCCCATCTCTAAACCCGTCCAACATCAGAGGATTGTGCTGAGCCGGGGTCTCTGAATCGGATGCTCACTAGAAGCCAGGAGACGCTCTGAGGTCCCACTGTTGTGTTTGGAGGAAGGGGGGACTTGAATAAACTCTCCAGGCAAACAAGCACTGCATAGATGTCTCGCGCCCAAGGCAGGAAAACAAGTTTATTTAAAAAACAAAATTAAAATAAACTCTCATAAACCCCCAGCCTTCGAGAGGAGCTGCACTGAGACTTTGCACTGAGGACTTTTCAGGGTCTGGAAGACCCGTGCTGCTTAGCAATGCGATGAATGGCCTTTCCTAAATGATGAGTGGGATGGATCACTTGATGATTACCTGTTCTGTTCATTGTCTCTGAAGCACCTGGCACTGGTCACTGTCAGACTGGGCTAGATGGACCTTTGGTCTGACCCAGTCTGGCTGTTCTTATGTCGTAATATAGCCCCTCGGCAATAGCTCCACCATGCTAGTGCTGTAGCAGAAGGTTTTCCACCATGGTGTGAGTCACAGAGGATACTTTCCCAGTTCTCTACCTGCCATGGAGAGGACAGGGGCAGCACAATCTTCTTTGCAGGCTCTCAGGGTATCTATTCATCCCATCACATCCAATGCATATTCCTGTCTCCAGTAAGTTCCGCCCTGAGTTTCAGCAGATGGTGATGCTTGGGCAATGCTTGGGCAGCTGCAATGGCTTGTTCAGGTTTCCACTGAGTACCTAATGCCTTCCCAATACTACATCTTGCAGGTTGGTGCAATGGACAGAGACTGTGACCAGACTCTGAGGGCAAGTCAAGGTGAGGATGCCTTGAGAG